CATTCTCCCCCGGAATTTGGGGCACACACATATACACACCCAGCATGATTTTTCAAGCTGTTGGGTCTGGGACTCAAACCGTAGTTGGCCACAGGGGAGTCCAGCGCCCTAAGTACCACATCACCTACTGGCCTTTGGACTTTGAGTTTATAGTAATATCGTAATGCCAAAATGGGATAAGCAGTCAAATACTAACAAAAAGAAACAAGTGAAATGCTTTTATTTTATTATTTTTTAATCATTATTTATTTATTTAATTTATTTATTTTAATTTGACCAGAGAGGGACAGAGCAAGAGAGGGAAAGTGAGAAAACAAGCTGCCAGGTCCAGGACTCAAAGAAGGCAAAGTGTTTGAACTACTTCTAATTGGCATTTTTACAAAAAAAAAAGCACTTTAATTTTCAATATTTATAATGTTTTTAAGTTATGGTGTACTAAACACATACTAGTTTTGCTATTTTTTTATTTTCATAAATATGTATAAACAGCAGTTAGGTATATTGTGACAAAAATTTTTCAAGGTCATAAAACAATTATAAGGTCATTAAGAATGATTCCAGCCTGCTTAGTCATTTTCTGAGTTCTGTGCTATCACACCACGCTAGGATCCCCTGGAGAGTATGTGGAATTCATGTAGGTGTTTCACTTAATTTAAGCATAAGCAAAAAAATATTTTTAATATGGGTAGTTTTCCTGAAGGCTTATATTCTTCAAGAGGCAGTTTTGCCTGTGACAAGATGATTAACACTAAGTAAGCTTATTAAAATCAAAAAAGGACTGTTAACTTTAGAAAAATAGCTCCGTTATTGAAAGGTTGTCAGCAAGTCTAATTTATTAGCCTTGTCATCGTCTGTGAGTGGGGACATAAATCTTGAATTAGTGATCAAAATGAAAAATACTCCGAATACCTGCCATAGCAAAATTCTCCACATACTTTCCAAAGATAAACACATACATCACTTCCGTCTCCAAAGTGGGAAAGTTTGATTACTGACATCCCAAAATTTGAAAGTCTATTATAGATGTCATGTGAAGGAAAACTACATCTGAACTTCCTTTTTTTTTTTTCTGCCACAGGGCACATGTACTCACCAGAGAGGGAAAGTGAGAAGTCAGGCAAGCTGACTATGCTGCGGTCCCTTCTCGTTCATTCTCCCCCGGAATTTGGGGCACACACATATACACACCCAGCATGATTTTTCAAGCTGTTGGGTCTGGGACTCAAACCGTAGTTGGCCACAGGGGAGTCCAGCGCCCTAAGTACCACATCACCTACTGGCCTTTGGACTTTGAGTTTATAGTAATATCGTAATGCCAAAATGGGATAAGCAGTCAAATACTAACAAAAAGAAACAAGTGAAATGCTTTTATTTTATTATTTTTTAATCATTATTTATTTATTTAATTTATTTATTTTAATTTGACCAGAGAGGGACAGAGCAAGAGAGGGAAAGTGAGAAAACAAGCTGCCAGGTCCAGGACTCAAACCACAGTCAGCTGTGTGGGAGTCCAGCGCTTTTAAGCACCACACCACCTGCTGACCTCATGAAAAAATGCCTTTAAACATCCAAGGTAGGATAAACTGAGACCAACTGTGGTCTCCTCAGCAATAAAGGCAGGATGGTAGGGGGTTAGGTCCCTGGAATAGCCTGAGAAGAGTAGGGACTTCCTGGTTCCAGACTTCCTCGTGGCTCAGCCCACGCTCCCAGACCTGGTCCGGGAATCCATCTCCCCATCTCTCAGCTCTGCCCTCCTTTCTAGTGGCTTTTCTCTCAAGGGGGCTAGATGACCACCAGAAGTTCCAGGCCTACATCTCTGACTCATCAACCCCAACCCAGAGAGAGCTCTTTTCTCCCTCAGGGAACCACCAGAGTGCTAAGGCCTGCTCTCACCAGACTGGCCCTGCCCCCTTGGATACACCACAGGGCCTGAACTGGAAGATAAGCCCTCCGTGGGGCCCAGCAGGTGGAGGGTGTGAGATCACGCCAACCACATTGGCTGACCTTGGGAGGCGATTCTCCACAGTAAAAGCTGGGGTCCCCCAAAAAAGAACAAATGGAAACAGGGCAGGCAAAAGGAACAGGTGCTCAAAGTGGAATGATCCAGAATTTGAGAGTCTAAAGAATTTTCCTGATCTAATTCCAATCCAAACTCTACCCCTAATGGAGAGATCTAGGCTTCAGTACTCTGTAAGGGTGGTGATTCCATTTCTGTATTTCCTCCCTCGTATCCAGGAAGATGATTTTGTGATAAACGGTTCTGGGTGACAGAGTTCTTAGACTGTTGCCTTTCTTCCTTTTCTTTTTTCTTTTCTATTCTTTTCTTTCTTTCGGTTGCCTTTCTTTCTTTCTATTTATTTAGATGAAAAGTCCTAATGTTTATTCAATATCTCAAAATAAAAGGGAGGGGGACCAGCAGATGGTGTAATGGTTTAGTCACTGGACTTCCACATAATTCACCACAGTTCGAGTCCTGAACCCGGCAGCTTAAAACTCAAGTCAGCCACCTGTGCATATGTGCCCAAAATCCTGAGAGGAGAATGGAGAAGGGATTGTGGTGTGGCCATCCCCACCCCCGGGGGGTGATTTCTTGCTTTCTGTCTGTCTGTCTGTCTCTCTGGTGAGTACACACGCAATAGCAAGAATCTCTTTAAAAAAAAAAAAATAACCAAAATAGGAGAGGTAGGGATGAAAGCATGTATTTTTCTTTTCTTTTTAGAACTTCTTTTTCCTTATTTAAAAAATTTTTAATTTACATTTAGTTTTTGTACATCGTCATGGGTATAATATAGGTTTTCAAAGCATGCATGTAGTGTGTAATAATCCAATCAATGGTGTTACCATACTCATCACATTCACAAATTTACTGCAGTTTCTACCTTGGGCCTAAGTTCTATCTCCAGGAATGCTAAAGAAGAAAATCCATGGTCCATGAACTGGTAAACACAACCGCTATCTTTCCCACCAACTTTCCAAAGCCTGCCTCCCACCCTGCATCCACGTACACAACCAGAGAATTAACCGGGAGGTGCTCAGAGCTCAGGCATCAGCTCCTCGCCCACTCTAGGCAAAGTCCTCTGAGTTAGCACAGAGGTCCTGGAGCGAGGAGGGGAGAGGAAGCCAGGTTCCAATCAGGAAGCTTTCTTCCCCCTGAGATATTTGCCTTATCGTGTGAGTACTCACTGAGGAGAGAGACAGAGACAGTGAGAGGGAAAGTGAGAAATCACCTCCCAGGGGGATCTCCACACCACAATTCCTTTCCCATTCCCTTCCTAGGATCTTGGGCACGCACACACATGTGTCCAGCATGAGTTTCAAGCCACCAGGTCTGGGACTCGAACTGTGGTCAGCCAGGTGGAAGTCTGGCAATGTACCCGCGACACCATCTGTTGGCCCCTCGGAAAGCTATTTCTACCTAAGTATTTCTGGTAAACCGTCTAGAGCTCTCAGGAAAACAAAACGAAACCAAAGTGGTGCAAATTTTGAAGTCTCCACTTATTTGTTGTGATCTCTGACCTCATTCAAAAAAATTACTCGGATTTCTATCTAATTTCTTTTCAAAAATATTTATTTAGTTAGTTCCATATGTTATTTTTTTTTTAGATTTGATCAGAGAAACAGAGAGAAAGAGAGAGAATAAAGGAAAGCGAGAAAGTAAGCCGCTAGGTCCAGGACTCAAACCATGGTCCACCATGTGGGAATCCAGCACCTCTAACCACCATGCCGACTGCTGGCCCCCCATCTTTTCAGCCCAAAACCCCAAAAGGAGAATGGAGAAGGGATTGCAGGGTGGCCATCTCCCTGGGGGAGAGAGGGGTGTGATTTCTCATTTTTCCTCTCTCTGGAGAGTTCACACACTCTAGAGCAAAAATCTTAAAAAGAAAATGAAAGAAAGAAATATCTTCCTCTTTGATTTTCAACTAGCTTGTCTGTACAATGGGGATAGTAGGGACTGGCAGGTGGTGTAGTGAAGGGCTGCACTCCCACGCGGCTGATCACAGTTTGAGTCTTGAACTTGGAGACAGACGCGCTTTCTCACTTTCCCTCTCTGTCTCTCTGGACAAATTAAAAAATAATAAATAAAATGAAATCATTCTTTTTAAAAATGGGAATAATATTTTCTTTTTCTCCAGAGTTGTCCTGAGTATCCAAGACAGTACTCTGAAAGTGATTACAATCCCTTGAAAATAGGACGCCTTAGTTCTCCTTATAACTCTGCACCGAAGTAGCTCCACGCTCTGGGCGCAGCTCAGTTCTTCTCAGGATTTCATCTTGAAGCTGTGAGGGTGGGGCTGGGCGCTCTCTAGTGCTCTCTGAACCCTTCGTGCTGTGTACACACAGCTGGGGCCGCAGCAGTCTCTCCAGAACAGATGGAGACAAAGATCCCACGCTCCTGACTCTCTCCCAAGACGGCCACCCTAGGCTATCGGGTTGCATCCTGGAAAGTGGGCTGATGTAAGGTGCGGTTTGGAGGTCAGAACCCTGCCTTTGGGGCCCACAGAGCTCCGCAGGGGAATCAAGAGAAGTTTAGACCCCATGAGGCCCCAACAGGAGAGCTGTGATGTTTTTAGGTGCCTACTCACTTGCGGTAATCGATGGACAGGGTCTCATTTAAGCCTCCCAACAGGGTTTCAAATGTACCCTTACGCCCATTTCCCAGATAAGCAGTCACTAAGAAAAGTCACACAACTCACGGAGAGACACACTCGGGACTGTGTCTATCTAAGGCGTCTTCGAAAAGTTCATGGAAAGTGTGTATTATGAAAAAAAAATATGCATGGATTTCAAAATGTTGTTGCATCAAAACGAACTCATAAATTAATTCTATTTTTCCACCAACTTTCTGAAGCCCCCTTGTATTATTCTACTGCCCAGATGCCCAAACCGCCAAGAAAGTGTTCTGTAACAAAACTGCCCACGGCCCAGTGTGCAAAGGCTGTGGCATAGTCTCCAAACCTCAGGAGGCACGAAACACAGGAGGAAAACGACCCCACACTCACCAGGCGCTTCTGGGAGTCAGACAGGGAACGGAGCCGGGTGAGCTCCAGCTTCTGACGTGGGACGCAGGCTGCCCAAGGCACGTCTCACCTCCGCCTTCAGCTGCGAGGCTGCAGCAGGTGGGTTCTTTTCAAAGCGCTTCTCCAGGTGTGGATCGGCTCAGATTCCCGCTTTTCCAAGAGGCAGCCTTCCATGTGGGCAGTCCAGTTCCCAAATCCCCAGAGGGAATTTCTAAATGACTTAATTCCCTAAGCCCCTATTTATGTCCTAATGATAGGACATTAAGATGCAAATTAAACAGAAACTTGGTAAGCAAATCCTGTCACTTTCTAATGGATACATCAATAAAGGCAGGCACAGCGGTCTATCGGCACTGCAGTCTTGCCAGGCCCTGGGGAGGGATTTCAAAGGCCCACCTGTGAGCCCAGCAAACAATGTGTTAGAAATTCTATCTCCCTCAAGTATTTACGGTCGGGCCCCCACTCTCCACCCCTGAGGGGCCTAAACTTTCCCTGATGTCTTCTCACCCCTTACCAAGGCTGACTGGGCTCTACAATGCGCAGGCCCCCAAAGAGGGGTGTTCTTTGCCAGCGTGATTTACAAGGTCGCAAAGGAGACCGCCACAGCCTTCAAGTCAAGCATTGCACCTCAAAACCTGGCTCAGTTTCTGCTCTGTATTTTATTGTTGTCATTTGTCTCCTTTCTCGTCAGTTTTCCTATTTTTCCTCCTAACTATTGGCTATACTCTCCCAAATGAGGCTTTGTTTGTTTGGTCAGAGTGCCATACAGAAAGTCACCCCCTTAAAATCCTTAGTCTCTACAACCACATTTCTTCTTTTCCCTAAGACTTATTTACCTCATTTTATTTATTATTATGATTACGATTTTTATTTGCAATAGGACGCGTGTGCTCACCGGAGAAAGACAAAGTTAGGGAGAGAAAAAGGGAACGTGAGAAAGCAAGGAGCCAGGTCTGGGACTCAAACTGCTGTTAGCCAAGTGGGAGTCCAGCCCCCTGAGCGCCATGCCACCTGCTGGCTGTAAGGTAACCGTCTTCTGAGGTCAAATTGTACACCATACACTTTGGTGTTTTGGGCCTTTAGCCAAGGACTGTACAGAATGCAGAAGGAACTTTACTGTTTGATGAAGAAATACCGCCAGCCCTTCCATTTCGCCATCAAATTTGTGCTAATATGATTGTGTTCCTGGAGAGCCACAAATCCTGGGTTCTAGTGATCATGCAGTCCTCTTCTTACCCGGCCTTGCTCTCAGTGCTGTGAGCACAGGGTCCAGGTCTGTCCGGCTCACTTTTGTGAATTAGGCAGACTTAGCACGAATCTGTTAGCAGGCTCTCAGTGAATACACGTTGGAAGGAGAAAACAAAAACAAAAACAAATACAAAAAAAACCAAGAATGCTGTTAACACTAGGGTTTTTTTGTTTTTGTTTTTGTTTTTGTTTTTTGAGATTTTTGCTATAGGGCGTGTGCGGCTGTTGCCACTCCACAGTGAGAAAGCAAGAAATCACCCCCCAGAGGGGTTGGCCCTGCTGAAATCCCATCTGCTCTATTATCCTCTTAGGATCTTGGGCATGCACGCAAACGCGGTTAGTATGAGTTTTAAGCTACCAGGTCTAGGACTGAACTGCGATTGACTACGTGGGAGTCCAGTGACGCGGTTGACTATGTGGGAGTCCAGTGACATAACCATTACCCCATCTGCTGGTACCAACACTAGGTTTTATTTATTTAGGAGAGGTTTTTGTTATAGGGTGCATGTACTCGTCAGAAAGACAGAGAGAGGCAAAGAGATAGAGAGATAGAAAGCGAGAAATCACCCCCCAGGAGGGATGGCCACACCGCAGTCCCTTCTCCTCCATTCTCCTCTCAGGATCTTGGGCACGCATGCACACATGACCGGCGAGAGAATAAGTCACCGGGTCTGGGACTTGAACCGCGGTCAACTACATGGGAGTCCAGCGACATAGCCATTATGCTAACTGCTGGTCCCCCAACACTAGGTTTTAAATTGACACTCTAAAACAGACTTTAAATTTGTGTTTACTAAACACAAAACACAAGAGTTCCCAATTGTTTCAAGTTTTTCTGATTTTCTTTTGCCCAGGCCTCAGATGCTGTTTTGCACAACTCTTGCAAGCTTTTGAGTTCTTAAATAAACGAAACTCCACACCTACCTCCAAGTTGATTCACTGGCTTCTGGATGTGTCTCTCCCCAAACCAGGAGCCTAACACAGGTATAGAGTTTACAGGGCTGCAAAGACATGGTGCCTGTATGAGGAATTCAAGTCAATTTATCTAAAAAAAAAAAAAAAAAAAAAAAGGTATTTGTTGTCAACCTCTGGAGAGACCAAATGTGTAACATTAGTTTGGAGAGAGGCAAATACCAAGAGAGCCATCTAGGAGCCTTTGACCGTCAGGGATCCAGTGCAAGCCTCTCTGGATTGAACAACCCCTGCTCATGTTTTTAGAGACACTTTTGGTGCTTGCTGAAAGACTTTCTCCGAAGGCTTTTTTTTTCCTAAACACTATTTATTATTATTGTTTTTTAAATTTGCTACAGGGCACGTACACTCACCAAAGAAAGAGAAAGAAAGAGTTAAATTTGCTACAGAGCACATACACTCACCAAAGAAAGAGAGAGAAAGAGAGGAGGAAGTGAGAAAGCAAGCGGCCAGGTCTGGAACTCAAACCACAGTCGGCCATGTCGGAATCCAGCACCCTTAACCACAACGCCACCTGCTGGCCCCTCTCTGAAGTCCTTTTAACACTTACAGTCAAATTATACGTAGGAGCGCAGACGCCATGTAATGTAGCTTCTGAGCATTTGTTTTATTGTTTAGTTTAGTTTTGTTTTTTAATTTATATTGTTGATTGATTTTTACTTGTTTTATCTAGGTTGGGGGCCTTTAAGACATGATCCAAGAGAGGTTTCTAAAAGGGGGCCACAAGTGCTGAGATTTCCATGCAAAGTCTTACACGCGTGTACATTTTCCCAAGAGTTTATCTCTTTCAACAGATTTCGAAAGGCCTGTGTGACCTCAGCACAGGAAGAGCCCCGGGAGTTTGCGCCACCAGCTCCACGACAGCCAGGTCATGAATCCTAACACCTCCCTCTCCTGAACCCTGCTGGGTGCCCCGCATCGCCAGCTGCTGCTGCAGCTCTAAGGAGGGTGCTTTCATTCTGAAAAGACACCTAGATCAGACGGCATAGGCCATGAGCCTCCCTTTGTCAACATAGATAGCAGTCAAAGAAAATATTTTTTTAGTTTGCCAGAGTGTACCCGCGCTCACCAGAGAGAGACACAGAGACAGAACAAAAGAGGAAAACTGAGAAAGTACCACCCCACCCCAGAATGGTCATGGCACCATCCCTTCTCCTGCATTTCTCTCCTTCTGAGATTTTTGGGCACACACATTCATGTACCCACCATGTTTTTCAAGTGACCAGATCCTGGACTTGAACCATGCAGGCAGCCATGTGGGATCCAGCTGCCTTAACCACCACACCACAGGGTGGCCCTAGTCAAGTTATTGTACAGAGATTCAAATCCATTCAGTGAAATAAAAATCCAACGAAGCAAGTAAATCTTGATTTCTCCGAGTCACTCAAATAGCAAAGAATAAGGAGAACTTTTTTCTATGCTCTGCCACAATCACTATTTTAAATCACTGATGCTGAGGAACGAATCAAAGCTGCAAAGAGATTGTAGCAGATGCATCCTGGTGAGGGGCTGAGGGCATGTGCACGGTGGGTAACTTACACGCATAGCTGGCCCCTCTCAGACGCTGGAGCCAGGGGCGAGCCCAAAGCTGTCCATGCTGCTTCTCGGAAGTCTGGCAGCGTGGCGCGGCCAGTCACGCTCCGAGGCAGCTGACCTGGTCACGCACCTTCACACTGGGCTTTTCCCCCTCTGGTTAATCAGCCTGTCCTCCACTCTTGCTCCCTGACATTGCACTCACTAATAAGGGAGAGCATGGGAGCTCCTACTGCAGCTCTGCCTTCCAGGAAACCTGCGCCATGACAAAGGAAATGCATAAAACTACTGGTTCTCAATGGCCCTTGGATAGAGGTGTGTGTGTGTGAGAGAGAGAGAGACAGAGACAGGGAATTTTGCAGAAAAGACAGAACAGTTCTTTTTTCTCCCATCTTAATTTCTCCGAGTCACTCAAATAGCAAAGAATAAGGAGAACTTTTTTCTATGCTCTGCCACAATCACTATTTTAAATCACTGATGCTGAGGAACGAATCAAAGCTGCAAAGAGATTGTAGCAGATGCATCCTGGTGAGGGGCTGAGGGCATGTGCACGGTGGGTAACTTACACGCATAGCTGGCCCCTCTCAGACGCTGGAGCCAGGGGCGAGCCCAAAGCTGTCCATGCTGCTTCTCGGAAGTCTGGCAGCGTGGCGCGGCCAGTCACGCTCCGAGGCAGCTGACCTGGTCACGCACCTTCACACTGGGCTTTTCCCCCTCTGGTTAATCAGCCTGTCCTCCACTCTTGCTCCCTGACATTGCACTCACTAATAAGGGAGAGCATGGGAGCTCCTACTGCAGCTCTGCCTTCCAGGAAACCTGCGCCATGACAAAGGAAATGCATAAAACTACTGGTTCTCAATGGCCCTTGGATAGAGGTGTGTGTGTGTGAGAGAGAGAGAGACAGAGACAGGGAATTTTGCAGAAAAGACAGAACAGTTCTTTTTTCTCCCAGATTACCTATGAAATCTCTCCTCCTTCCCTCTGTATTAGACCAGGTCCAATCAAGAAGTAAAGCACCACCACCAACGGAATGGGAGAAACGTAATATGAAAGTGTGTTAATAGGTCAGCTCTATAGCTTGGTGGTTGGGGCAGCTGCATCTAAACATGGCTGACTGCGCTGCTTGAGAAATATGCTGGGCATGTGTGCATGCGTTCCCAGAACCCCACCAGGAGAGAGAAATGGAGGAGAAGGGATTGGGCATGCGTTCTACTCTCCCTATCTCTCTGTCTCTCTCTGGAGAGTGCACGCACCTTCTAGGGGGAAAAAGAGTGTTAACTAGAAATAGGTGGTTAAGG